CAGACTCACCCCTCACCGCCTGCCGGACATAGATGAGCAGGGTCCTGGAGGCGCTCCACTGTGCACACCGCGCAGGGTTGCGTCCACAGGCCCTGGGCCGGAGTGAGGAGCAGGAACAGTTCCTTCTACAGATGTGTGGAATTCCTTCCCATCTGAAATGATGGTCCAGGCCTGGGCCAGGTTCTGTGAACCCAAAGGTGATTTCCTTTAGGGAACTCACAGCCCAACAGGGAGCAGAGACCTACACAAAGACAGGGGTGGGGGGGGACAGGACAGACTGTGGTCAGCTGTGGGGACTGTGGGTCAGCTTCTTTCCCTCCGCAGAGTAGGAGACACCTCGGCTTTGTAACCAGAGGACGCAGGAGGTGAGGGCTGGGTCTGGGGCACCCATCTCTGACGGAGATGAGACAGTGGGGCTCCCAGATTGAGGCCATCAGTGGATGCTCGAATGGCCAGGGCAGGCACAGAGCCGAGTGACTGTGTTGTCTCCTGCCACAGCCTGCTCATCCCTGACCTGTTCGCACCCTTTCGGGATCTGCGCCTGTGTTTGTGTGAGTGAGTGCGCCTGTGAGTGTGTGCCTGTGAAGGGAGGAGAGGGGCCCGAACCCGGAGGACCGCTGCAGAGACGCCTGTGGATCACGAGCACGGACTGCAGGCCCTTTCCCACCCGACCGGGCGCGGCACCCTCATGGCCAGCTGCAGGACTGCAGCGTGCAGCACCCCAGAGTGCGCCAGGTCTGGGTTGAGATCTGGCCCAGTGACAGCACCAGGCCTCCGAGGGGCCGGCAGGGACCCGTGTCCACATCTCCAGTGCAGCCGAAGCGGGCTTCCTCCCGGGCAGGTGGAGGGCACAGGCAGTCACACCTGCAGGACTGGGCGCAGCGGCACTTGGCCCTCCCTGGTGCAAACCCGTGTGAGCCTGCCTCTCCCGGGCCTCTGCACTCTCCCTTGGAAGCCACTGCCTGCATCCTCTCTGCCCTGCACTCGAGGAAGTGATGGGTCGCCGCTCTGCACAGACGGCCCAGCCCGCAGGGAAGGAGCTGCCCACCAGGCCGTGGTTTCTGTGGCCTGGGTGCTGTGGACCGCTCAGGCGTGGGTCAGGGATCACTTCCCACATTTCCCACACGCATGTGTTTTGTGCGAATTAACCCTGGTTGCGCACCCTAACCTTCCTCCAACCCCAGCTTCTGGTCTGCTCAGGTGGAACTGATGACCGATCCTGAAGGCCTCCCACCTTGTCCCACGCAGAGGCAGGTGGGTAGGAAAGGTTAGAGGAGCCAGGTTGGGTGTGAAGTTCACCGACTTCTGCCAGGCCCTGACTGTGCCTTTGCACAAGGTGAAGCCAGGGAGCCTTCCTCAGGATGCTTTATAATGCATAAAATAAAACGCATGGCTTGACCTCAAAGGAAACCAATAATGTTGAAATATAATTATTAAAACTTGAAAAAAACAAGTGCATATTGTAGCAGTATAAGTTCTTTTTTTTTTTTGGTACTGGGGATTGAACTCGTGACCTTGCGCTTTCGAGGCAGGCATCAGAACCTCTGAGCTAAATCCCTGGCCCAAAAAATCGGTAGTGTTTTTTGTTTGTTTGTTTTCTGGTACCAGGGATCGAACTTGGGTCCTTGCGCTTGCACAGCAGGCAGTGAAACCACTGAGCTAAATCCCCAGCCCAGCAATATAAGTTCTTTATTAAAGCACCTACTATTGAGCTCCTGCAGCATTGTGATAACCACGGTAATTCCAAAGCTGCCATGGACATAAATAATGTCAATTTCAGCCTCTCCAGAGCCACAGTGCTACAGGTGGGGCACATGGACTGCAGCTTGCTGCTCACGTTGGTAATTGTTTAAAGACGTAATTAAGATGTTTCTTTTAACCTCTGAAGCCCAGACATGGGTCCCTGGGCTGCAGAGCTGAGACTCCACGGGGTCCCCAAAGTCAGGAAAGGTTCGTAACTGGGATGTCCCTGAGTTCCAGCCCACCCTTTTTGCCCCCAAAGGCCAAGTCCTATAGATGTGACTTCCCCTGTCCCCAGCCCTTCCACCTGGCCTGGAGGGAGCCTGCCTTGGTGACTTCCCTGCCCTGCCGGCCTGCCGATAGCCTCAGCTCCCAGAGCCCAGGGCGGAGACACAGGCTCCTCCAAGTTCCTGGGTAGCGGCCAGGGGGCCCAGCAAAGGTGGGTGTGCAGGGCTGATCAGAGACCAGAGCCTGATCAGGGACCACAGCACCTGTGCCCTGGGACCTGGCTCCTCCTGAGGTGTCAACCCTGCGCGGGACGCTCTCCCCCTTCCTCCTGGCAGCCGGAGGCAGCCCCACTTCCTGTCCCAGAAAGTCCTGCATCGGCATCACTGGCACCTGCTCACAGTGCAGGAAGGCGAGGCGCGCTGAACCCCAGCCATCAGCCCGGCTCCCAGTGCAGTGGGCATGAGCCCCTTCTCCCTCTCTTCCCTTCTAACGCCCTGTTTCGTGGCGGCCAGGTGGGTGATGCCCTGTTCTTATTTATTTATTTAAATAAACAAACAGCACATGACAAGGTCTCCAAAAAGCTCCAAGTTCACAGCTAACATGCGCTCACACCCCAACTCCATGCCCAGTCACCTCGACCCTGGCTCCCAGCGCACTCAGCGAGCACCGACCTCACCTTCTGCCTCTGCAGCCTTCCCCAGAGCCGGCGGCCACATTTGCCACGCAGGAAGGAGGGCACGAGGGACAGCCACCGGTGCAGCACCCGGAGAAACTCAGCCCCAGCCTGGGCCCCTGCAGGGTTGAATTCCTTTTCCCTGGGGGCCAGCACCATGGAGCTGAGACCAGGCTGTGAGGAGCTTGGCACCAAAACCTCTCATCTTCAGAGGGACCAATGCCCCGAACCACCATCCTCTGTCCCTTGGCGTCAGAGCCCCAACTAGAAACGCACACCAAAGGAAACTCAGCACAAAGGACCCTCACGTGGGGGAGCCACAGCCACATTAAAAAGTGCATCCCGGCAGCAAGTTTTATTTACTTGTGGAAGAAGATGGGGAGCGGGCGGGAATTGGGATCAGCATTTTCTCCCAGACACGAAGTCCCGGGAAAGCTATTTGCTACTTGCAGGGAGACAGGGAGCAGTTCCCTGGGAAGACGCCTCGGGCTCCAGCGTAAGGAGCTGCTCGCCCACTGCTTCGACTCTGGGACAGCGTGTTTCACCCTGGAACTGCAGCAGGCCTACCCTGCAGGAGGCCTCTCTCCGGTCCTTTCATCCGACTTGGAAATGCTCTCTGGGGGCCGGAAGCTGCTCACAGAAAGTCCAACGCCACCTGGGAGGTTGGTACTGCGGGCACAGAGGGTCAGGTCCCCCAAGAGGTGCACAGCTGGCAGAGCTGGCAGCACAGAGCCAGGCTGCGCCCAGTTTCCGGCGCCGAGCCCAGGCCTCTTTCCACAGCCGACCACGGCCCTGCGCGGGTCATGCAGCCTCCCTGGGGGACGGTGACGGGGGCAGGACGAGGCCTGCACACGCGTGTGCGTGATACCACGCTGCTGCCTGGCACACGGAGTGAGCCAAGCTGTAGTTATCAGCTCCATCTAGAGCTCAGACACAAGACCCCCGAGACGCCGCCCGCTCCTCCCCTGCTCTACTTCCTGTGACTGTGAGCAGCTCTCCTCACCAGGCCCCTCTGCCTTGCTGTTTCTTCTTCAGAGCCGGCTGACCTTGGACGGATGCACAAAGCAAAATAAACCCTCTCCTGAAGTCTGGCATTGGGTTCTTTGTCACAGCAGTAAGGAGAGCAACAAAGACAAGCCCCAACCCTCGTTCTGCTCCATGGTCCAGAGCACCCCTGCCCGGCCCACCTGGCCCAATCTAGGGCCTCGGATAAGGGCAGGTGCGCGACCCTCCTCTCTGAAGCACTCGCACTGGGCCAGGAGGTGCCGTTGTCTTCCTGTCAGCTCTGCCCAGGCAGTGTCTCCCCTGCACACCTTAGGCTGCCACTGATCTGAAGCAAGCTCAGAAGTCCACCTTCCAGCTGTAGGGTCAGACTCGGGGGATGCAGACCGGGGCCCCAGGGAGTCCTCAGCAGTGGGAGAATCCTGTGGTCCCCCCACCACCCCGGCTGCAGCTCCTGGGCCAGACCCCAGCTCTGCGCCTGTAGGTCACCCCCGGCCGGCTCTCGTCCAGGCAGGCCTGACAGGCGGGGTGTGGGCCCTGCACCTCCCTCACAGCCTGCTGTCCACGGCGGGTGCACCTGCAGAGGCAGTGGCGGTGTGGCCCTGGGAACCCACCAGCCTTGTCCTCTGGGTGTCCTGAGAGGCTCCAAGGGCCCAGGGATCTCAGCCGCTGTCTCCCCAGGCCCTAGGGGGGCTTTGCCCCGGGTCTCCTAGGTCAGAGGATGGCCCTGTGCTCCTGGAGACGCCCCTGCCTGGGCCGCACCTCCGACCCAGGGAAGTGAGGCTGCGGCTTCAGGCTGGAGTGGTTCGGATTCAGGGCAGAAGTCCAGGCTGCGCTGTCCAATTCGGCAAGGAGAGCGCAGGGCTGAAGGGCAGGGTCAGACCCGACCTTAAGGGAGATGGGGGGTCTGCAGCGTCCCGGCCCGTAGCCCCAACCCCGCCCTGCACCCCGCTCCCACCCAAGGTCGCGGGCACAGGAGGACCCCAAACTTCAGCCAGGCGGGGGCGTAGCTTTGCGCCAGGGGCAGGGGAGGCGACGCCCCAGCCTGCAGCGAGCAGGGTCCACTTCGCCGGGTCTCCACCCGCACCCCCTCAAGCACTTGGACCCCAGGGCAGGGGAGGGGGTGTGGGAGGTCGGGGTCCCTGAGACCGTCACCTCGGGCGCTGCAGCCTCCGCGGGCCAGGCACAGCCGTGTGCGCGCCCTCCGAGCACACACAGCGCGGGCACAGTCCCGGGCCCCTCCCGGCCCACACCCCTCGCTCTCGCCCGGGCAGGGGAGGTCGCAGCCTCTCTGAGCTCCGAGAGCCCGGACAGAGTTTGAGAAACACTTTCTGCAAAGAAACCAGAAAACTCCTACCCGGGTGGTGGCTCTGCGGGTCGCCGAGCGCTCAGCACGTTCCTCCCCGCCGGACAGACGGACAGACGGACGGACACTGAGGGAATCGAGGCAGCCGAGCCGCTCCCGCCCCAGCAGAGGCTCCGCCCAGGCCCTGTGAGCGGGGTGCGGGCCGCCGGGGGGCGGGGGACCGGATCTCGGAGCCGGTTCTCACTGCCCTCCTGCGGGGCTCCGGGCTCCCTGCTGCCCGCTGCGCTGCGCTTGGGGAGTTGTTCAGCAGCCAGGGACGCGCCCTTCCGTCCCTGACCTGAGCGACCCCTCGGCCCCAGCAGGAGCGGGGCTTCTGCTCCCCGCCCTGGGTCCCAGCCAAGCGGCTCGGTGAAACCTCGGGGGTGGGGGTGGGGGGGTGGCATCGGGACAGGAATTCGAGAGGCGGACATCCGGGACTGTCCTTGTCCTTGTGACAGAAGCAAGGTTATGGGAGCGGGTCTGTCCCCCTCCAGTCCTGAGCAAAGCAGCAGCCCCGGGGACCCTGAGGGAAAGGAGCCTGGCGCTGGGGTGGGACACAGCTGGGGTGGGGGGTGGGGTGGCAGCTTCAGATCTTCTCCAGGTGAGGGGTCCTGGGAAGCGGCGGCCAGGACCCTGAAGTGCGATTTCTTGACCTCTCACTTTGTAAATGCGGAGGCCTGGGTGTGTAGCCAGCACCATTCAAGCGGGAGGAAATGGCACACAGGCTGGATCCAGCCTGCAGACCTGGGGTTGGCCCAGGGGGTCACTGCTTCCTGCTCAGGTGCTTCGGGACCTCCTCGGTCACACAGGGCCACTGGGGAGCTGGAGCAAAACCCAGGCACCCTGGGACCTGGCCTTGGAACATGTCCTTCACATCCTCTGGCCTCCTGCAGGATTGCTCTCTCGGCTTCCGGGCATCGAGAGCAAGGCAGGCAGGGGCTGGCGGCAGGGCGTGGAGGCAGCATGGTCCCTGGGAAGCAGCAGCCCTGCCAGCCGCTGTCCTCGAAAGCACAGCTGGCCTGATGACTCAGAGGTGAAGCTGCATCCCCGGCAGCTGAGCCAGAGGCGTGACTGTCACCATCCGGCTCCTCCTGGGCACAGTGAGGCATAGCTGGCCTGGGCACACAGGTCCTGTACCCTGGGGGGCAAGATTCACAGCCGGGCTGGAGAGGGGCCCCGGGAAGAGCAGATCCTGCCTAGACAGGGTACACACAGCCTCCACACTCCCACAGTCAGTGGGGTGGCCCCAGCCGGGCTGTGCCGGGAACCGTGCAACCACTGGCCAAGCACAGGGGAGTGCGTGCCAATGGGGAAGCTGTCTTCACGCTTCGCTGCAGTTCTGGGAGCCCCAGAAGGCAGCAAACCCTGAAAGCCTGGGTACAGAACCCGAGGGTCTCCACGAGCCCCAGCCACATGTCCCCAGCCCTCCGTGCACACACTTGTCCCCCCTTATCCTGGGGTGAGCGCCCAGAGCCTGGGGGTGCCCTGGCCTGCAGGAGTGCAGAACCCTGCAGAGAGGGTGATTTCCCTATGCATGTGAGACATCTGTGATGACACTTCACTTATAAATCCGGCATAGGAAGAGAGCAACAGCACTTAATAAAATAGATCATAACAACATACCATCATAAAGATGTGCATGTGGTCCCTGTCTCAAATTATGTTTTTGGACTGGGCTTCGAAGCCCAAAGTATAAACAGAGAGCAAAATAAAAGATAATAGGAGACAGGAAGCTGGGTCTTTCTGAGATGGGAAGGGGACCAAGAGATGAGTGGAGGGAGAGGGCAGGGAAGGGGCGTGGGAGGAATGAAGATGTGTGGTGCACACACCCACGCCAGCCCAGGAGGACGAGGACCAGACGGGACCGCTCTCACTGTGCATTGCAGACGTGGACTGATGAGAAAGCGCCTGAGCGTGCTGCGCCTGCCCTTTCTCTGCTGACAGGTGAGATGGTACCATGCCCACGTGCCTCTGACAGATGAGGTAGGGTGAGTGACACAGGCACTGGGATGTTCGTAGCCCAGGTTACCACGTCCGGCTGACTTGGACACGGCATTGTGACACCTGGGTGGCTGGCCTGATGGCCAAGGTAGCTGTTAGGTGAATAAGGGTGGGGTGGGCTGGACAGTGTGGGTGCTGTGGACAAGGGGTAACTCGTGTCCAGGGTGGGGCAGCGCCAAAGGCACAGGGTTTCCTCACCCTCTTCTGCATGGTGCTCGGTTTAATGCAGATGGGTTGTTCGCTTCCTTCCGGAGCTCTCTGTGCAATGCTTTGGGGCTGCTGTTGACCACAGTGCCCAAGCTCTTGAAAGGGGCACGGAGGACAGGGGCGTCGGAACCCTGATTCCCAGGTGTTTCTGCTGAAAGACCTCGGCGTTGCACTGACTGCGACTCCTCCTCACGACGACACCGCTGTGCCTCGCTTTCCTCCCACGGCTCCGAGTTCTGTCCCACCTTCGAAGCCCCTTAGTGAGCTTCAAAATGCAACCCTAAACGCCCCCAGGATCTGTTCCTGCCACTCCATGGCGAACCTTCAAACGCGTCCGCTCCCGTAGGTCCGGACTCTGCGCCAGCTCCCAGGCCCAGCCCCAGCCTCCCGGCCCCGCCTGTGCCCCATTCCTTCTCATGCTCAGCCCGGGACTCACCCCCTGCCTCTGGTTCTTGGGCTCCTCCTTGCTCTGTGGTGACGTTTGTTTTCTTCCCCAAATCTTTGTCTAATGTCACTCAGCAAAGACCCTGGACGCACCCAGAGCCCAGACTAAGCAGGAGCTTGGGATCTGCACACCATAGCACTTCCGCATTTCTCTGACACTGAGCACAACTCCAATGACGCCGTCATCTCTCCCCACAGCTTGGCATCACTCGGGCCTCTCTCTGGTGTGCTGCAGCATCTGTCCCGATCCTGACACAGTCAAATACAAATCTGGTCCTTGGTGTTCTGCTGGTGACTTCGTGGTTCAGTCTCCATTGCCTTGAGACGGATGCAAAGCTTGGAGTAACAGCTATGAGGGTTTCCATTTCGTGTTGCTTGCTTGTGATGTGCCATGTCTACTATGTTGGTGCTTTATAGTACACACTGAATCCTAAGTTTAAAGACAGTATCATTATCCTCTTGCTGCTTTTGCTGCTTCTGCAGCCACAAACTGTTGACCCTCAGCCACCCTGCCTTGGAGCCAGCTGATTATGGATTGAAACCTCTACCGACCGTTAGCTTAATAAAGAAAGTTATGGCCTAGAAGAAGGCTGGGTAGCACAGGAAAATTAAGATGTGATAATTCATAAAAGGGGGTAATCTGCACAGCATCATCAAAAGTTGACAACAGAATCAAAGAGCTCATTTCCTCTGCATTAACCGATAGAAAATGGAACAACAGTAACGAACATACCAAGAACTTGCTTCTAAGATATTTGGAAACAACTGATTCATGGGAAAAAATAAAAATCTTCTGAAAAAAAAAGGACAGCATCATTATTACTAAATAGGAAAGGAACATTTATATGATACATTGTAGCATACACAAAACCATTGCACCATATCACACAAAATCATGTAGGTAATACGGATTAAAAGGTAAAAGGCTGAGCCGGCGATTCAGCTCAGTGGTTCTGCTGCCTGCCTCGCAAGTGCAAGGTCCCGAGTTCGATCCCTGGTACCAAAAAAAAAAAAAAAAAGGTAAAAGGTCATGGATAAAGTGTCTAGAAGATGACATAGCTTTGCCCCTGAGAAGTAGGCAAGTGTTTCTTAACACCAACCCTAGAGAAAAAGGTTGCTATATCAGGTGTACAATAACATTCAGAACTTCCGGTCACAAAGACTTATCGACGTAAGAACAGCCATCTACTGTAAGGACAGGGAAAGGGGATGTTACTAGAATAACTCCTGCAGTGGGTCCTGGTCTCCTGTGAGCCCCGACAGCACAAGGCGAATTAATTAATATGGACAGAAATGACACTTAGAGAAGGAGCTGAGCTTTGGGCCTGATCAACGCTGCTCTGGGCAGAAAGAGAAAAGACCGCAAGCTTACCACACCTTTATTCGGTACCTAGGAGTGACGGGTGACTCAGAGGCTGGTGAAGATAATCCTAGAACAATGAGATTTATGTCGATGAAGATCCTAGCTCAGGAGGAACTTATGTTGACTAGGAATTTGTCCAGCTGGTGTAATCCTGCCGCGGAGCATCACAGCATCTGACCACTGAGGTCTTAGCTGTGACCAGAGGCAAAACGGAGTTATGTCTCGACATCCCATAGCTGGCCTGTAGGCAGGAAAGCTAGGTCTAACCATAATTTTAACTGTGAAATGATTTTCCCCCAGATTACATAGAATTGCTCCCGACAAGCTACTCTTCCTGTGCTTCTGTGGGAGAAGGGGCTCGGCTCAGCAGACCTACTGTGATCTCCGCAGCCCAGGGCTCGCCTGACTGCTGGTGAGAGCTGGTTACTGCTTGGGTGTCTGCTGGACCTGGGGGCGTGGCTGTCCCACTGCCTGGTGCCCTGAGAGCAGGTCTCCCAGGAGAGAAGAGACAGACTCTGCCCTTTCTCTCAATGCCTGGGCCCGGGGCTAGTCCAGCATCACTTTCTCATGCTTAGCTGGGTTAGCAGTAAGAAGGGGAGCCAAGCTTCAAGGGAGTGGGTGAGAAGCACCCAGTGGGGAAAATGAGAAGGATCCTATGGCATCTTTAATCTACCCCAGCACCGTTGGGAGGGTGCAGCTGCAAAATGCAATCTGGAGGAAGAGTTTTACAGCAGATGGTCTGTGGGTTGACCTGGGCCCACCCAAAGTTCATGCATCCAAGCTGTGGCCCCAGGACCTAAAGATGGGACCTTATTTGGTACAAATGTTGCAGAAATCTCAGAAAGAAATACAGAGACACAGAATTCGGATAAAATAATAAAATTTCTTCTCATGAGCGGGTGGAACGCCAGAAACCAGTCTGGTCAGTATCCAGACTTTGTTCAGCATTTCCCTTTTTATACCCTTTTTAGCCATTATCTCATCCCTAGTGGTCTTTGATGTGTAAATACAATCCCAGTTCCTATTTACAAGTCACAGACACAAGCTAGGCCATATACATTGTAAATTCACCCTGGCATGGTAACTTTGTTAG